CATACTTACTATTTAATTAATGACAAGGGCTTAAAAACTCCAAATATTCAATTCAGTAAGCAAAACGATGCTTTTTGAAGGATAGATCTCTCTCTCATATCAATTTAATTAGATATATTATCGGTTGCTTCCCTTATATGGTATTTTGAGTACTCCATCAGCATATTGTACTAAGAATTAACCTTCCGAAGATTCGCAAGTTCTTCGATATTACCTCTTTTGGAAACTGCTGGTGCATAAAAGCAAGTAACAACTCGCGAAACCTGTTTAAGATTCCCCTATATTGGCATGCAGAGGTTCCTGGTGTACAAGGATCAGTACAAAGCGAGTTTTATAAAAAAATCCCGTGATCAAGGTCAAAGTGTGAAAAAGGGGGTCCAAACAAGAATGAGCAACTAAAAAGGACTTAAAAATAAATAAATATTAAAAGAAATAGAATAGTGCTTACATAGAGGAAGTTAGTGAACTTGGTCATATGACAGGCATAGACGGATTCAGGATTTGCTTGGCGGTCCTGACGTTCCTTCTCTTTAGCCTCACGTCTTCTGGTTCTCGAAGAGGCAGATTTGCTCGTGACAGCTAAAGGGCTGGAGGATGTAGAGACATCGTTCTCAGAAGATGAGGCCGATACAGGCGGCCCCAGAATTGGCAAGATACAATTGCATCGGGCGTCACGGTTGTGACGCTGGGCCATAGTCCATTCATTTTCGCTAGAAGAACGAAGAGACTGCAAAAGAGAAAAGAAGATGAAGAAAGAGCTAAATAAAATAAATTATTAATCGAAGGTAGGAAGAGCAAGATGGTGTGGCCTTTTGTGTGGTCGCAGTCTCCTTTCGTTGTATAGAGGTTGTTTGACCTTGCTTTCTCAACTTGGTCATATTGGTAGGAAGACTTAGAGGAACGCAACTAGTACGGAGTCCATTGTATGCATAATAATTTCGAAAGTCGGACCATGGACGTGGTACATTCCCAGACGTCCACGGTCGGACTATGAAAATTATCATGCATACAATTGAATCCGGACTAGGTGCGCTCCTCTAAGTCTTCCTACCAATATAATAAAGTTGCGAAAACAAGGTCAAACAACGTCTATACAAAAATACTTTTCCTATAATAATCGACTACATTACTTATTTTCGCATGCAAACAGAGTTTCGAGACTACCAGTAAATCAGTTATGAGATGTATTCACACTATTTCGTTTACTGGTATTCTCGAAACTCTGCTTATATACGAAAATAAGTAATGCAATCTATTGCTATAGCAAAAATACGTTTGCCTCATCGAGAATCTCCCCAAAAAATGCTATATGGGAAAAAGGCTCTGTGACTCAAGAGCCCTCGTTACAATGTGGCTGAATTGATAACGTTTCAAGTTAACATGCTGCACTATCATGGTTCGACTTCCTCACGGGGGTGTTGATAAGACCTATTTGAGGTCGAAACTGCAGAAAATCCTGGATGAAAACAGTTTTTGAGAAAGCAAGGCTATGTGAAATTCAATGGAGAAGTCAGCTCAACTAATATCATTGTGGGGAAATCCTACTACCAGTCCTTCATCACCCTAAACAAAACAGGGTG